CCCCCCCGGGAAATGACCTGAGAAAGAATGTTGAAGCAGATTGTTCAGTTTTTTTTTCATATGTTTCCTGTTGCAAATAAATTCAAAGTTTTCCTTCAGAAAGCTCCGAGGAATCTTCCCAATGCCCCCATGGCTCCCGCAAAGCATCTTCAGGGCAAAGCCAATACGATGAAATAACACGAAAAAGTTAACTCATCATGCCGGTATCTTCAGCAGTATAACGAATCTAACTATGAACTCAATCAAAGAAATCAGCAATCGAGATGAAAAGCTTCATGAAAAGAAAAACCTAATTATAGATATTGTCTAAAACCTCCGAGTAGTTGAAATGTGCCGAGACAAACCCCATGTCTACATAGTTCTAGTGCAATATAAGTTGAGGTCTCTTTAGCACGCATAGATGAATTCAAGATTCAATTGAACCAAATAACAGTTCAAGAATTTGTCTGCGTTTGCGCTAGTGCAATATTTAAATTTTTTTTCTTTTTTCTTCACATCAATGTATTTTCCTTTGCCGCTGCTCCTAAACAATGACACACTGGCTTGGATAATCATTTACGCAAAGACTATATCGTTGCTATAAAGGCCCTGTGATGATGATTAGCATATGATCTAGGGTTGAATCTTATGATCCGGGAATCTGAGGCATCAACATTTATTATAAAAATAAATCCAGGGAAAGTTACCTAGATGAACTCAGAATGGGGCCTCCAGTGACTCATCCCAGACTTCTGCACTTCCATTGGATGCATCTTCAACATCTTCTTCCATGGAAAGCCTGATGTATTCTCTATGTGCAAAACGGTCCCACTCAGTCAACATAGGGTTTTCACGCTCCTGTTTCCACATTTAACATTTTCATATGTACGGCCAAGTCAAAAACCAGCAGAATCACATATTGAAAGATGAAAATCGCCACAATGAGATGAATAATATATATACGCTTACCTGACGGATAAGGAATGGATCACGCGTTTCGAAGGCCATGAACTTGTTCAGATTAAAAAGGATGTTGAAGACACTTCCAGAAAGTTTGGAACCCTTCAAATCGTGCAGCGTGATGTAGCTCTCATTCTGAGGAAGGAGACAACAAACGATCAAAACAGAGGCAATGCTGCCGTAAAAGCTGTTACACTAACGTTGAAACAAAACTGAGATCAGAAAAGTCAAAGATGAGTAGAAAGTCAGAGAATTTCTTCTAAAACGAAAGATGAAGAATATAATCATCATGATGAAATAATACAAGTCAAACCTCTGGTCCAATCATATCAATTATTTGACATAAGATATCCTCGAAAATAACAGGCTCTTGCGCCATGCACTCCATTCGATGCAACTGCTCCTCGTAAAAAAATTGCATCTCGTTCCGCGTAAGAACACCATTTCCATCCAAATCTACGCATTTAAACCTAACACAGTATATATTATTGTCAGATGAAAACACCCAATGTGATATTCAGTCCAGCTCGTAGACTTGGGTCCAAAAACATAGCTTACCAATACTCTAGGCTAGGCTCCGAGGATTTATCCTCTTCTGCAAGAATGAAATAGACGAAGTCCTCGTATCCCATCTTACCGTCAACTTTGCTAGTAAACTTCCTGGCCACCTAAATACAAATAAATGCATTAGCCATAAGACCATCTATCTCAAAGGAACTATTGACTCAGAACTAGAAAAGGAAACAAAAACAGAGGTCTAGAAATAGAAACATGCATCAAATGACGTTTTCAACTTTTCATACAGCAAGTACAGAAAATCAGGCTAACACGACAAAATTTTGAGAGGAAACCTGGGAAAATATTCTGTCAACAATCCGGTAAGTAAGAGCATGGTTTCCATATCTGATAAGGTTTTCTTTGTCTATCAAGAAATCGTGATCTGCATCCAGCTCCCAGAACTTGCAGTATACGACATAGAAATGCTCGTAAGAGAAGTACCTGAATTACCAAGTCGATAGGAATGGAATTAACGAAACAAACACTCAATTTACAAGGCAAAAAAAAAGCTATTACTTGTTAGCCATGCATTTCAAAGCCTGATTCAATATTTATAAGAAATATACTCCTTCATTCACTACCTCAACACTTTGTTGATGTCTTCTTCTTCGTCAGCATGTAGCATTGCATCAATTAAATTTCCCCGTTTCAGCTCCCTGAGTGTAAGCCGCCCATTTCCGGATCTATTTATGTAGTAATATATTCTGTAGATTACGGTTTCAGCTGGTCCATCAAAACACAGTTACACAAACTGTATCAAATAACTCCATTCTTGAAAAGAAAAGCTTGGCACACATTATCTTCAACAGCAGCAGCAATAGCATAGAATGAGGCTCCAGATATAACATGCTCATGCAACACTTGTTTTGGACCAATACTAATACATACAAGCATTCATGACTAATCAACTCATGAATTCCATAACCACTTCCAAAGAAAGTAGACAGAGTGATCCTGTTAACAATCATACTAGAGTTATGTACTGTTGGAAAATTTTATCAAGTCCTTTGGATGGCAGATGAGTCATGGAACAAATGAGTTTATGTTCTAAGATGTATGACTACGGTTCTGCAATTTTTTGATATCTTATTTGAGTGGAATGTCATAATATCATCCATATGCATAAATAATGAAGAATATTTCCACGTCTAGTAATGCGACCAGATATTGCACAAAATAGACTCGGTCTTTTCCGGCTAGCAAAGTAGGTAGTTCTGACTCACTGCACCATTTATTTCAATAAAATATTCAACCAAGCTCTCGCCAAATCTCCAGAAAGCTAAAAATTATAACATAAGGAGGTTTGTAGAGTCAAAAAGCAGATAACAAGTGGGTTTTGAATGACAAACTGACCATATCTTTCCTGGAATTCAGGAGTGCTTTGCAGGAACTCCAACCCAGGATGAGTTGCCAGTAGTTCTTTAAGTATCGGCTTGAAATCATCCTACAAAGAAAAAAAGAGTGTTGGTATAATGCAATTAGAGTAGAAATGAGAGTGGGAACAGAAATTCAGTACTGTGACAGAATATGCCTATAAACAGAAAATTACCTTCACAAGGTAATTCTGATTTGGCTGCTTTAGTATCTTGAATATTTGGGATGATGTATCCAATATCAACATGTTTCCATTTATCCAATAGTCAATAAATGCCTCTCTGCAATGAAGTCAATATAAGTTAAGTATCGAAAGAATTTATAACAGTCTATTCAATATCAGGATCACCAAACTGGAGAAAGAACAGTTATAAAACGGTCAAAGAGCTTGAACTACGCAACGAGAGATGTGAACATCAGATCTTGCCGTGCTACAAGCATAGGAGCACACACCTAGTAACAAATCCTGTATTATTGACATCAATCTTCCTGAATAGTGAAGTGGAGATGAAAGATGGAAGCTTGCAGATTTCTCTGGTCACTAGTCTGAATTCTGACAAGTGACAAAAAGAAAGTTTGATAAGCCAGCCCTATAAAACATCATTTAAGAACTTTTGTACAAACAATTTACCTTGCATCTGCAGTCCATCTACGTGACCATAGAAGAAGTGGCTGATTCTGGATAAACATTGCTCTTTTATCTCACTTGGAAGGGGACGGCCATTTTGAAAGTAAAACTGAGGTATAAGCTCTTTGACTACTTTCAAGGGAGAACCTAAATTAGAAGGGGCAGCCCTCAGTTTCATCATACGTGGTGAACCAGATGAACTCCTAGGTGACAGTGGAGGAGCACTTCCCGCTGGAAACATGGATGGTAAAGAATTGCTGGTGGCACAATTTGTACCAGAAGCACTTCCAGAAACATTCAGAGGACCTCCCGCCTTCGCATCATTTAACAACGATTTAACCTAGAAGACAAATAACAGTAAATAGCAGAACATAATTTGCACCGACAATAAAACTACAACAATGCATTCTGGGGCATGCAGAAGAAAACACGTCCTTTGTTTCCATAACCGAGTTCTAGGGTGACTAAATGGAAAGACCCTTGATATGCCGCTATCAAATTAATCAAATCCTAAGCTATGAGTGAAAGAAACAACAGCACCTCAATCTTTTACGGCATATTTTCCGATAATTATGGACAAACAAATAGTTTCCAAGATATAACACTTTTGTGGCCGAAAACTGCCACCGCCAGTCAAAACTTAATCTTTTTCTTATTTCTATCAAAATTAACTGATAAATGCATGACCGATTTACCATAATCCATATTCTTTAAATAAATTCCAAAAGCAGAGACCACCAGAGTTATTATCTGACTAGTTCCAGCGACCTAAGTGTTATCCCCAATGGTCCCCATAAATTAGCAAAACCATCGAACCAATTCAATGTTGAGCCCAAGCCAACTACTAGGCTATTACCACCATTTCTAGCACGAAAGCGCTAAAAGCAATAGACTTCTTACTCAACACTGTGATACCGTCAATGATTTTATACCACACAAAATTCTCGGATAATAGTTTCCTGTTAGAATCCATGGGAAGAATTCAAGAATCCAGCCGAAATTTTCTTGGAAACTACTCGTCTGCAGACTATGTGATCATTGACCCTCACTATATCTTTCATGGGGCATGGGCATGGACATGGCCATTAATCTTATATCATCTCAGTGACAAGATTTCACATACTATACACACGATTCGAACTGAAAACAAATCTTGTATCTTAAAACCCTACAAGCAAGAAAACACTGAAGCAGAACAAAGTTCGGCGAAAAGGCAACTAAAGAACAAGAAATTCGAACAGAATACCTGCCGATGAGCTTCAGTGAGAGACAGCCACTGGTCGAAGAGCTTCTGCGCGAACTCAGGGTTCGATTTCAGAGTGTCAGGAGAGATTTCCGGCAGCTGCAATAAGTCCGCATCCAGACAAGCCATGTCTCCGGCGACATCAACCGCCATACTCATTTCCACGCAATCCAATCAATCCAATCACATCAATATCGGCGAACTAACCCTGAATACCGCAGAGAGGAAAAGACAAAAAAAAATATGTGGAGGCGGATGATCGGGCAAACGAGCGAAAGTGATCAGGAAATATCCAACACGGAGCTGCGAGAAGTATGAGAAAACCCTAGATCTTCGGGAAGGGAAAGAATCGGCCTCCGATTTTCTCCTCTGATTCAGAAGGAGGAGCGAGAAAGTGAGGGAAAATGCTAAGGAAATGTCTTCCTTTTTTTCTTTCTTCCTTGTTTGGCTTCTTGGAAAGGAAAAAGACCGAAACGAGAATACTGATGGAGTCGCCCTCCGCACTAATAGTGCACGTGCCTCTAGTTTAAGTTTTGGGGTTTGGGTTACGTTTTATTTAGGTTATGTTTCATTTTTATTCTTATTATACTTATTTAGTTTTTATATTATTAAGTTTAAATTTTATTAAATCAATGAATCTATTTTTATTTCAATTTTTTGTTTCCATTTTAATTTAAAATTTGATTAAGATTCGACTAACTTATTTTAAAAGAATTAGCATTTTTTTGAATAACCTATTTAGGAAAACCAACGTTTACTATATTAATTCGCCAATAAAATAGTAACTCATCATTCGATGTGTATACAAATATTAGACAAAAAAAAAGATTCTCTGAATTATATTACCATAATAAACCCCACATATATAAAAATCACTAATACGTTAATAAATTAATTTTATTATCCGTAAATAATATCCAAAAAATAATTTAAAACGGTTATTAAGTTAGATAATAACGATGGATTACGAATACGGCCATCGTGTGTGGACCCGACACCAATTTTGACCCGACCCGGTTCCGTCACGCGCGGACCTTATCTTCAACGGAAAGGAAAAGCGAGTGTGTTTTATCCATGCGAACCTCCGAACAATTTTCTATGAATACGAAATTTTCCCGGAAAACACTTTCCACGAAAAACTACAAATGACTCCGTTTTCCTCCGAACTTGTGGGCTTCTCTCTCCCTTTCTCCTCCAAAACTCCGACCAACAACAGTTCGAATTCTGTCGGACTCGTTCACAAGAGGAACCTCTTCAGCTGCTCGAATCCTAAGCCTAGTCCTAAGATCAGTAAAGCTTATCCGGGAGCAAATCCTCAGGCTACGGATGCAGTTCCTGCGGAACAGAGGCAAACCCAGTTGCCGTCTTTCGGATTTAATGATGCCCAGATGCTGAAACTCTTCCATCGGTCATGCAAATCCGGGAAATACAGCGAATCGTTGTATCTGCTCGAGAAGATGGTACGTAAAGGCTATAAACCCGATGCGATTCTATGTACGAAGCTGATTAAAGGTCTTTTCAATCTGAGGAACATACCCAAAGCTGTTAAGGTCATGGAGATTTTGGAGACGCATGGTCAACCTGATGTCTTTGCTTACAATGCGTTGATCAGTGGGTTCTGCAAGATGAATCGCATGGATGATGCTACAAAGGTGATTGATAGGATGAGGAACAAAGGGTTTTCTCCAGACACCGTGACTTACAATATAATGATTGGTAGTTTGTGTAGTAGAGGGAAGCTTGACCTTGCTTTGAAGGTTTTGGATCAGTTGCTGATGGATAATTGCCGTCCTACAGTTATCACTTACACGATCTTGATCGAGGCCACGACGATGGATGGTGGAGTTGATGAGGCATTGAAGCTTTTGGATGAAATGTTGTCGAGAGGCCTGAAACCGGATATGTTCACTTACAACACGATTATGAGGGGAATGTGCAAAGAGGGGATGGTGGATCGTGCTTTCGGGATGGTTAGGAACTTGGAATCGAGAGGGTGTGAGCCCGATGTGATCTCGTACAATATTTTGCTGCGAGCGCTTCTGAATCAGGGGAAATGGGATGAAGGGGATAAGCTCATGACCAAGATGTTTTCAAAAGGATGTGAGCCGAACGTTGTTACCTACAGCATTCTTATCAGCACTCTATGTCGAGATGGAAAGATTGAGGAAGCGTTGAATTTGCTGAAGGAAATGAGGGGAAAGGGACTAAATCCCGATGCGTATAGCTACGACCCTTTGATCGCTGCGTTTTGCAGAGAAGGTAGACTAGATTTAGCAATCAAGTTCTTGGAGTCTATGATCTCAGATGGATGCTTACCCGATATAGTAAACTATAACACAGTATTAGCTACGTTGTGCAAGAACGGGAAAGCCGATCAAGCGTTGGAGATATTCGGGAAGTTGAGCGAAGTGGGTTGCCCTCCAAACGCGAGTTCATACAACACTATGTTCAGCGCGCTATGGAGCAGCGGGAACAAAGCTAGGGCACTGCAGATGATATCAGAGATGATAAGCCACGATATTGACCCGGACGAAATCACGTATAACTCGATGATCTCGTGTATGTGCAGAGACGGGATGGTGGATGATGCCCTGGGGTTGGTGGTGGACATGCGAAGCAGCGAGTTCCATCCCTCGGTCATCACTTACAACATCATACTTCTAGGGTTCTGTAAAGCTCATAGGGTCGACGAAGCGATTGATATCTTGGCATCGATGGTTGAGACCGGCTGTCGGCCTAACGAAACCACTTTCACGCTACTGATCGAAGGGATCGGGTTTGCCGGGTGGAGAGCTGAAGCCATGGAGCTCGCCAACTCGCTTGTCCGGCTCGGTGCTGTTTCAGACAAGGCATTCAAACGCTTGAACAGGACGTTCCCTTTGCTCGAGGTTTACAAAGAGCTTAGCCATGTTGAGTGAACTTTGTACAAATGCTAACTTACATTTCTTTGAAATTATGGGTACAGAAAATTTTCGCAGTCGTTTGTCATATCTCTTAATCTCCAATCTTTGGGAAAATTTGTCCTTCCAAACCAAAACCCTAAACGCCATATTCCGTGATCAGCAAGTAACTAATTTGATACCGTCTGAAGATTGTTCGCCACAAATCAATGGTGAGAGAGGATGCTGGGACTTTCCTTTTCAATCCCCATATGATTGTATTATATTAATATTATTAATAATTATGGAAATCTACTTATAAAGAGAATCCATTAAATACGAAGATTTGATTTCCCATAAAGAAATCGTGTCATGCAAAAATGGTAAAATCATAATCTTAACCATTAAAAAAGAAACATTGTGTATAAATCTCCAGAAGAAAAAAAAAAGTAACAAAAAAAATGGTAGACTGCTTTTTGGTACTTAGTGGTATAAAAGGGAGTAAACAATGATTGGAATATTATCGTAAAGAAATATAATAATTATTATTATTAGTTTTCATTTAAATTTTTTTAAGAAAATGGGTTCAACAAAATCATTGGCGGCTCGTTTGTTTGCGATTCTCTTGGTGGTTTCACCGGTCGGTCACTTCACTTCTGCATCTTCTGCTTCTGGTATATATATTATCTCCTTCCATTTAAAATTAACCGTTTTAATATTTTCGTATTTTAGATTAATATACTGTTGATAGTGTAATTTAATAGTGTATATATACATATACATATATATATATTATAATGTGTATGTAAGAATATGTGAAGGGATTGAAGGAGTGGGTCTAAATGGAATGTGGTGCATCGGGTTCTGTTCGGACACGTACGGATCGGACCAATGCAACAGAGACTGTCTGAAACAGGAGGAGGAGAAGCTATTCTTCGGTGGATACTGTGTTCCCATCGATGCCAACCGCTGCTGCTGCCAACGCTAGAGCCACCCCGCGTTTGGCGTTCAGCGTTTGCGGTTGACTAAGTCTCCCTAGTTGGTCTCATGATCGCATCTCATCTATCCGTTGACGGACATAGATCGATGTAATACCATATAATAAATTCGAATATTTAGTGTCCGGGATTTTAAAACACTAAAATAATTTGAAAGCTATCTGTATTTCCGAAATTAGAAAATTCATAGATAATGATAATTATATTTATATTGTGCGAAACAGAGCCGTCTCACAAAATTTGGAGACTTCGTACATATTATAATTTTAAAATAATAGAAAATTATTAATTAATATAAAAAATAATATTTAAAAATAATTAAAATATATTTAATATAACAAAATATATAAATTAACTAAGTTAAAATTAAGTTGAGTCACTAAATTTTGGTGATAATTTATTTAATTATTTGAAAGGAAAAAACAAATTATGATGTTCTTCGCAATCCATTTAAAAACATAATGTCATCGACAAGGCCCAATACGTAAGCCTATGAAACCCAGACAAAAGCCCAATACATTTGGGCCAGGCCCATCATGTTTCCTCTGAATCAAGTATTGGGCTTTTGTTTGGTGGATACTCTATATACATTATGGAGAATAATACACAGAAATATATCAATCCTGTATATACACAATTACTATATCAACAAACAAACAAAAAAGCCTCGGATTTTTCATGTAACATTTTCTCAGCTGTGAGAAAAATATGATTCTTTTTTTTTTTTTTGGTATAAAACAAATGGCATATCAAAAGCTTGTCATCCCAATCAAACAAAAATTCTAAAACCTGGAGAATCTTGATTCCAGTCTTGTTTGTCCGAAAACGTTGAACAAAAAAAAAGTTTTCGAATTTGGAAAAAAAAAATCGCATCTCCTAAACCCAGATATTGGTCCACGAAAATTTTTGTGTTTGCGATGAAACGTAATATTTAAATGCGATCGTAGAATTACGTACCATATTTTTGTTGAAAGGTGTGAGATTTTGAAGAAGAACCATATATACATATATATATATAATGAAAATGGGGACTCCTCCAAGTCCCAGATATGGGAAAACAGAGGATGACACGAAAAAGTAAAAAATAATCACTTCCTCGTACGGACACAGACATACGATTTGCCCACGTGGCGACCCGACCCGATTCTCAAGGAAACGGGTCCATTGGATGGATTTATTTGAGCCCCCGACACAAGTACTCGGTTCCACGTGCGAGAGGTTCCACACGGGGACCACATTCAGCTACCGACACGTGCCCTGATCAACAGCTCTTCACACCCAGCTTTAGATCTCAACCGTTCGATTGTTTTCACTGATGGCATCGTACGTGCTACAAAACCTGTCTTTGGGACTCCCCCAGTTGTGCGGCCTGAAGAGGTTTTTTTTTCCCTCGAGGGGTAAAATAATAATTTCATTGTTTTCAGATTTAAAAAAAAAGTTATTTCTTTTTTTTTAGTAGCCAAAAAAATTTCAGTAATGACTGCTTTTATAGAATTATTTTTTAAAAAGCTGACTAAAACGTTTTGAGTGTGTAACTGTTTAGATAATAAAAAATAAAATTACGAGAGATGCAGGATATATATATATATATATACGAATTAATAATAATTATTGGAATATCATTTTCATATGTTTTTAGTATATTCGGTGTGCATAAATTTATATCTCCTATGCACTTATGCAGCGCTGTATCTAAAAAATATTTTCGATGTATAACTGAAAATTTGTAACCTGTTTTTTAAACGATTACAACATACAATATAGCCACAAAATAAATAGATTACATTAAATTTGACAATATTATTCGTTAATATTTATTATTTATAATTATTACATGGAAATAATGGGGCTTACTGTAGATGACTGATGCTTCAGCACTAAACAAACAACCCCACTTTAATTATATTCATTGTTTCGACTTAATTTAATTTATATTTCCACCTCTCTATTTTCCTTTTTTATATTTTAAATGTATTCCTTTTTCTTTAAAAATTTTGGAAAAATGGTTGTCCCTTATATGACCTTTTAAAATATCATCCCTTTTTATGTTTATTTGGATATCTAATTATTTTATTATGTTATTCTTTATTTGCTTGGTGAGATTATAAAATGTATCTATTTGTTTAATTTAAATCCTACTTCTTAATCCATTTTTCTCTTTACAAAGATTCAATTTTTATTTTTTATCGGCTGTTGTTTCCTTTCGTGTTGTAAATTTTGATATTTTTCTGCATTTCTTCCATTCTATTAAATCGTAATTCTTCTATTCTTTTTTTTTTCTTCTTTTTTAAATGTCATATTTTAAATTTTTTATAAAAAAATTTAAAATCTCTAGCCATCCATCTCTCCTCTTTCCTTTTATATTCTCTAAAGTTCTACATTATCATCTTTCGAACAATAGAAAGAGAATCCGTGTGTCATGAAATTAATATATTTGAAGGTCTAATCAGCGTTTAATTAATTGATTAATTATAAAAAAATTGTGTCATCAGATTAGCTGGCAGCAATAATTGAAAAGATGATCTATGTTTCGTCTTTTTGTTTCCTTATAGATCCGTTTTGGATTTTTTGCCTTTTGATTAAAGAGTAATGCAACAATCTCTGTACACATACATGTTTGACATCACATGCGCATATACAAATTAAGTTCCTCAATCCACGAACGACTAATTATATATATATATATATATATATACATATATTCATATGTGTGTATATATATATCCAAAGTAGTTCCAATATGAAGTTAATTTGTTTTGATGGACCGACACGGCAAAGGAAAAAAACAATGAAATGTCAAATCCTGATATTAAGGTCCCTTCCATATGTAAATTCATATGCGAAGAAAATAACATCGCTCGAATTGGAAATTAATAAGCCTATAGTTGTAGCTATATATTTAAATATCACTAGTTGTTAATAAGCGTACGTATATATATACGTGCCACCTCAGAATTCTAACATAACATTAAATCACTAATGACTATGCACGGCAACAATGAGAGCAAACTTATCATATATATACAAGTAAATACAAATATATATATATATATATATGCGTATATATTTACAAAATTATATGTATTCCCTTACTACAATTAAAATTAAGCTTAATTATTTAAACTAATTTTATAACATAAAATTTATATGTATAATCCAACAAAACTTTATATTTTTTATTATTAACTGATAATAATTTTTTTCAGATCAAACCTTATATATAACCATGAATGCATATATATACATACGTTAATGCATACATTTTCGTATACATGTATACATCAACGCATCTATATATGTACATTGTACATTTAAAACCCTAATTTAATTCGACATTTTCTATGGTGGCTAAGCTAAAGTCAAAGGTGTCATTCAAATTAAAAGGCGAAGAATAACACCAACGACTGACAAATGAGTTAAGATTGCTTCCCTCATCGTTCCTCCATGAGAATCTGCCATTGCTTAATGGAACTGGACTTTTACGAATCAGCACTTATGTCCTAAAATGAAAACCGATCATGTCTGAAGAATTCACGCCATAGATGAGAGTGTACAGTTACACACAAATATACCAACAACTACGTATATGCGTACACAAATACACGTATACGCACTTACATAAACGCAAATACACGTATATACGTGTACGATTGATGTGATCCTGGTGTGTTTTGATGATCTAAGGCTTAACCTGCTCAACCACATGTCACTACTAACGCAAACTATATAATCAAATTTTCTTGGCAGGAAAAAAAAAACAAAAAACCCTGAAGTTAGAAGAAAGGAAAACATTCCAAGAAATAAACATGGAATATTCCGTTAAATCATACATATTATTATTCCTCATACGTAGCGAAGACAACGACAACATCGTACACAAAGTAAGCATAACGCAACATAAATACACAGATACGAACATACATATATAAATCATGCACATATAGAAGAAACACTTACATATACGGCTCATATAGCCGAACCCGAGAAACTAACCATTGTAGACTGACCTTGCGTTTGCGTCTGCGGCTGAGTCTGCATTTGTGTTTGCGTCTGCGGCTGGGGAAGCGATGCCTTCTGCTTGTTGACCCTCTTCCTCTTCTTCTCGTAGCTAACGCCACGCGCTTTGGCCTGAAAGTCCCTAACCTCACGTAGATAGATCCTGACGGCGCGTGCGCCAAAAGGGTTGGCCTCGGGGGGGCCACCATTTTCCTCGTAGGCGGCTCGGAGGCGGCCGATGAGTGCGTCAAGGCTTCCCCAGGCTTGACGGAGAGGGCAGGGGCATGGAGCCGGCGGATTTGGGAGGCCGAAGAAGGCGCAGTTCTGGTGGTGAACTTTGGTCTTACCAAACTGGTCCAAGTACCTATATATGTATTGACGTGCTATACACACTTAAAACATTGTATTTCTACAGAATATGTATACATTTATATGTATATGTATAAGCGTACCGGAGGAATTCGAGGACGTGAGCGCCGCTGCAGGAGGGGAGAGAGAGAGGAGGGCGGTGGTTGCGGAGGTACTGGCAGAAGGTGTTCCAGTCGCGGCGTTTCTGGTTCTCGTAGCGGCTCGATGACGACGGAGAGGAGGATGGTGAAGGATTTTGTGCTTTGGAGATCATTGTGGTGGCTTCTGGGATTTGGAGAGTGGGATTAGGGTTTTTGTTTGATTGGTGAGAGAGAAAGTCCATGGCTTCTTGTTGTTTCTGTTTTCAGTTTGGGAGGATATGCATCTGTCTATCTAGGGTTTCTTTATGGGGAATTTTGGGGGAATTAGGGTTCTTTTTTTTGGGGATTGTTCGTTTAATGGAGTTAACTAGGGCAAGATCTTGGATGGTTTGGTGATGGGCATTCGATGAAATGGCTTCTTGGATCGACCTTTGGCTTTATTTATACGTATCCAATTAACCACATACCCATAGAGAGAGAAAGAGATGAGGGAAATACTTATAGCTTCTTGTTTATTATTCTGCTACTTGAAGTGGTGAATGAAGCATACTAAAAAAAGCCAAGATCAGCCAACACACCTGGAGAGAGAGAGAGAGAGAGAGAGAGAGAGAGAGAGAGCTTTGATGAGCAGAAATGGTGAGGCAAAGAGAGAATAAACCTGAGAAAAAGGAGAGATGTGAGGTTTTCCTTCTCCTTTGAAGATGATGAGAGAGAGAACCAAGAGAGGAAAAGAAAGAACAAGGGAAAAAAAAAAGGTGGGATTGATTCCTTTCCTCTTTTCCCTCCTCTCTCTCTCTCTACCATATATATTTTCTACTTTAGGAGATGGCGAAGAGACACACATACACACAATGGTCAATATATAAGCTGCAACCGCATCAGAAAGAGAGATGAGACTGATCACATCAGATCATAAATTTTGCCATTTAAGCCCACAACAAAAAAAACAGAGAAGAGAGAGAGAGAGAGAGATGGGAACTACGAGTTACACAGTGTAGAAAAAGGTGAATTCATGACTCTTGAGAGAGAGAGAGAGGGAGACCATTGGGTCAAGTGGGGGAACTTGGAGTGAAACTTTTGACATGACAGGAGGAGCCATTGAGCAGTGCTCTTCCATGACTTATAGTGAATTTAGTAGGGACAGTTTCCTTCTTTTTATTTACCTTTTATATTTATATTTATATTTATATTTATATTTATAGTATTTCATGTTCATTGTATTTCGTCGATACATACATGCCCTTTGTATCCATTTACTTAGTAGTAGTAATCCGAATTAACAAAACAAATTGTAGAAAATACCGAATGTATTTTATTTTATCGACTTCGACCCTTAAAGCTTCCATTCACAGTTTGTTTTGCCATTAAAAATACAACACCATTTGTTTGGATTATTCCAAAACTTATAGTATAAATTCTGAAATTAAAAAAGATAAACGCGATACCATCGTCTTCACCGCCATAGTCGATGAAAAACTAAAAAAAAATCCAAACCCTATAAAAAAACAAGACTATAAAAGTATATATCATTATTTACGTCGTTATTTTTACATCTGGTATTGATTTATATTACGATATTTTATTTAATAAAGGCAGGTTGACATGACAAGACCATCATCTCCCGCACATTAGTATTCCATAAACGATTTTAATTAAAAGAAGACAAAAGAAATCACATCATACACTCAAAGATCACCAATTTACGATTTTTAAATTATCACAGATTCTAGTTTTTTTTTTATTTCAAATAATAACGAAAAGCCTCTTGAGTATAACCAAATATCGACTATCAAATTGATGTTTCAGTTTAACCCTAAAACTCATAGTAGCACATTTTTCGTGAAATTGAGAAGAATAAAAAACAGGAAAAACAAAACCTAGGTGCCTTTTACGTGGCGCGTAGAGTCAGGCTTTTCATCTTATGTCTTTGCGCACCAATTTTTGGGCTACGTGAAAGCTACAATTTTATGCCAATATATAAATAGTATATCAAATTTAACCTTTGTGTACGTATGTGTTTCGCTATATTTGTATTATACATGCAAATTTTTGGAAATTTTAAATTTTAAAATCATTTCACTTTGGTATTTCTATTATGTGAATCTAAATTTGTAACTATTATAAGAAATAAATATATATATATATATATATATATACGTCTGTTCGTGTCTATAGACTTTGATATGCATTACTATTAGTGACTAGAGACATTGAAACGTGGGTCAGTTTTGAATTGTATTATACAATGTATAATCTAGGAAACATGTCCCATCATACAAAAGAAAAATAAAGCTCAATTGACAATTTATTTATAATAAATATTAAATGTATTATAATTAAGATTAGGATGGAGTTCTTATTGGATTATGAATTATTATAGACTATACATATATATATCCAAAAAAATATAGAATAAAATATATTTCTTTAATTATTTGGTACGATTTCAGACCGTAGAAGTTTTTCGATAGTTCGAATTCTTTGCTGAAACACTAGAATTTCATTTTCCTTTTTTGTAAATCTCCTCTCGTCGCCGGTCGGTCGTTATCTCTCGCCATACAATCTGTTACAAAAAAATAAAATAAAATTTGTATAATGTAATCTCTCAACCATTAAATCATACATACATTTATATATTTACATTATGCGCGCACACACTATATAAAAAAGGGGATATTTTGTGGGGAACAGAATTCCTGCATTTGGAATATAAACCTACGAATTAGGTGTTATAGGAATAAACACACATAGACCCTATTTATTTATTTATTTATATAACCAAGAAATTTGAATAATTTATGTATGTTTTGTTAAATATTAATTCCATCTGTAGCAAAATACCGTCGTTCCTGATTTGGCAAAAAAATCTCACATGTCCTTATTATTCCCTTCCTCCCTTCTTGTTTCTTCCTGAGGGTGCACCCACTTGATCCTCCTCTGTTTTTATAAACATGTTCGCAATCTATACGTACACTTATGTGTATGTGTGTGCGTGGGTCTTGAAAATTATAACATAATTAGCTGAATATTTAATTAATTTTCCATTCTCCCAATGCTATACCATTGGTACAGCCCAATATAATTAAAAAATAAATAAATATCGTGTATATGTGTGCGTGTGTGTGTTATCTTCACTATTTTGTGAACTTTTTTAATAAAAAATTAAGGGGCGATATTAAATTTAATCAATGTTAAGAAATACATAATTAATGCCGTAAGATTGTAGATTTGTATATAAGAGATAAAAATCAACCAAATGGGAAATTGAATGGACAGAAGGCCCATCGAATCTCCTGTTTATAAAAAAAAAATAGATATATATATATATATATCAAGCAATGGTACGACAAGTCATGGAAATCGGAAGTCATATCATCACAAGATGAATTCCGGTACATTGAACATGGTCGAGAGTCGATGCTGTTTTAATTCAAGATTGACACAAAGATCACGCTTTGATGCACTCTCTCTCTCTCTCTCTAGATGTCGTTTTCTTCTGGCGCCCAATGAAATATTTTCTGGGATGAAAAAATATAAAGAAAATATTAAAAGAATAATCGAAAAACAAATTGAGAAATAATACAATTGAGCCAAAAAAGAAAAGAAAAGAGAACCCATATTGTTACTGTTGGGGTTTGATATAGAATTACCTCAAAGCATGAAAGAACATACGCCACATCACTCTCCGATATTTGATGGTGGAGGACAATCCTGATTCTGAGACAACACACAAACACTACAAGAAAATCTTAATATAGCGACGGAATTTGCGACAGAACTTTTCCGTCGCAAAGAAATTACGATAGAATTCGACGAATTTGCGATAGAATACGAAAATTTTTATTCTGTCGCAATTAGTCGCAAAATCCGTCGCAAATTTGCGACGGAATAC